TCCCAGGATTTAGGGGTATCCCAGGGGGTTTATCCCAGGGTTTGGGTCCCTCACCCGTGTGTGTCCGCGCGTGCCGCTGCAGCTCGTCGGAGCGCGTGAAGCGCTTCCCGCAGAACACCCAGTTGCACACGAAGGGCCTCTCCCCCGTGTGCAGCCTCACGTGGGCCCTCAGCAGGGACGTCTTCCGGAAGGTTCTGCCACACTCAGGGATGTGGCAGATGTGCTTCTTCTTCCCTGGATCCCCCGGCCTGCGGAGGGAGGGAAGGGAATGTCGGTGACGCCCCAGGCCGAGGCACCTCAGCCCCCAGTGCCCCTAAACTCGAGTTTAAACTCTCATGGGGAACTTGAGCCAAGCCTGTTGTCTGATTATCCCAAGTCTCAGCTTGGTTATCCCCAAGCTCATCCCATTTCCAGGAGAGCAAAGCAAGACTTGGAGCGTTTTGTTTCTCCTCGGACAACTTCGGCCCTTTTAATTCTGGAATAACAGTACCCGTGATTTGAGTTGTTGTACCACCTCTGCAACCCAGGGGGAGCCTCTGCCTGGTGCCATTCCCAAATCTAGGGATTATTTACCCTCAATCCAGGGATTGTTTGGTTCAGCAGTGTTTTAGCCTCTTCCCCAGCCCGGTTGGTGTGACAAGGAAAAGCCTCTGGCCACCCAGAGGTGCCCCCTGAGAGTAGGAGATGTTTATCCCTCTCCCTTTTCTGGGTAGTTTGCTGAAATCAATCTGCCAATATTCCCCAGGAACCTGCTGTTATCCACCAGGAAACAGTTCCCACCAGAGGAGAAGGGTTTTGGGGGTGTGATGGAGAAATCCAAACCAAAGGAGTGAACCCCCCACTCTGGGAAGACCCCGGAGACACTCAGGTGAGGGGCAGCTCAGAAGGGGCTCATAAACCACCAAAGACCCCCAAAGCACCCCCAGACTCATTCCTGAGGCCTCCCACCACCAGAGGACCTGTGAGGCAACAAATCCAAGTGAGGCAACAAATCCAGAGCCTGTCCCAAGAGATTGCAAAGCTCCCCCACCCCCAGGGGAGGTGCCTGGAACCTCCTGAACTGATATGAATCCATCCCCTGAATTTATATTAATCCATCCCCTGAATTTATATTAATCCATCTCCATTCCATTCCATGTTTTGTGGGACCCTCACCACCAGGAAGACCAGAAGACCCCCAGGGCACTGCAGGTTCCACAGGGGTGACACATTTTCTCCCTCATCTCTCTCTGCCGCTCCCTTTTCTTTCTTTCTTCCCCTCCCTTTTTTTTTCCCTATTTCTTTCTCCCTCTCTCTTTCTCCGCCTCACATTTAATGTTAAATAAAACCCCTACTCTTGCCACTGGGTCTTGTTTGCATCCCAATTTGAGAGGAGCAATAATTTTATATAATTCCATCATAATTTCAACACCTGGCTCGTGACCCGGGGCCGGGCTCGGGGGCGGGCGGTGTCCCCGTGGGATGTGCTGCTTCCCACTCACCTCTTCTCCCCATCCTTGCAGTTGGGGCAGGTACAGGCCATCCTCCTCCTCTTCTCTCCGGGCTGGATCTCTCCAGACAGCGCCTGCTCCATCTGGAGCTGGATCTGGGTGGGGCTCAGCCCGCTGATGGTCAGGTTGTTGCCGGACACGTTCTGCACCGTCAGCTGCTGCTGCCCTGGGGGAGGAAAAGGGGGATCAGCAGCCAGCCAAGCTCCTTCCCTGGATTCTGCCAACCCCTCTGCAAGGGCTGGCTGGAGGGAAGACCCCCCCAAAACTCATCCCACCCCGCCCCACATGCAGCACAGCTCCACACCCCCCCACCACCACCACCCCTCCCCTCTGGGTAAGTCCCTTTTTCCTGAATATACTGTGCGGTTTTTCAAAGTTTTCGGTTGGTTGGACCCTTCCAGGAAAAAAAACTGTTCGGCTCTCAGAGGAGGAAATAAAAAAAGAAACTTTGAAAAAACGTGCAATATATTGAGCAAAAGAACGGGACTTACCCCCGGGGCCCTCAGTGGGGGTAGGGGCCCTCAGGCCCCGGAGCTCGCGGAGGAGGAGGCGGCACCCGGAGAGCTGGAAAGAAGAAGATGGGATCGGCGTCAGCAAAGCGGGATCGCTGCTCCCAGGGCAGCAGGAGGAGGAGGAGGAGCAGCAGGAGGGAAAGGAGGAGTGGGATTTGGCAGCAGAGCAAAGCAGAGGGGTGATGTCGGAGAGGGGAGAGCACGGGCAGAGCTGGGGCTCCTTCCCGGGTATCAGCGCCGAGCCGAGGGTCGGAGCAGCTCTTTGGTGGCACTTTGGAGGTGGGAATGTCCTCGCTGAGACCCACAGCCAGCAGGTCCTACCAGTCCCCTCCACATCTGCCCACGGCATCTCCCCTGTTCCAATTAAACCCCCCCCCTGGAAGCCAATCCCGGGGGAGCAGCGGCCAAAGGTGGAGCAGGAAACCACAGCGGGCCGGGTTTTCTGCTGACACGGGCTTTAGTGGAGCAAGAAGGAACAGCTTCCCCGTGCCAAACCGAGGTGCTGCTGGCACAGGAACCACGGCCCAGGCAGCAGGTCTGGCTGGCTGGGGAAGGAGATGAACTTCCCACAGACACAGCTCCCTGGGAAGGGCTGGTGGCAGGAGCAGGGACACAGAGGCTGTCCTGGAATCACCAGGGCTCTCCGTGGGCCATGTCTGGCTGGTTTGGGCTCAAGGAAGATCCCAGGAGGTGGGAAGATCCCTGGGAATGGTGATCCCTTGCTGTGGAGCTGGAAGCACAGGGCTGTGGGAATTCCCTCTGCTGGAGCCCAAAGCAGCAGCTCCCAGAGGATGGAGGGAGATGTCCCAGCACTGGGATTGGGATTTGGAAGTGTGAGCCACAGCAGGGGAGGCTGCAGGAGGGATAACCCCATGGTACCAAATCCCTCTGCCTGGATGGGTCCTGGTGCTCCAGGGAAAAAAAGACCTCCAAAAAAAAAAAAAACACACACCAAAAAAAAAAAGACACCTCAAAAAAAAAAAAGGCACTTAAAAAAAAACAAACTCAAAAAAAGACACCTCAAAAACAAGACTCCTCAAAAAAAAGACCTCGAAAAAAAAAAGGCACTTAAAAAAAAAAGAAATTCAAAAAAAGACCCCTCAAAAGAAAGACCCCTCAAAAGAAAGACCCCTCAAAAGAAAGACCCCTCAAGGGCCTGGGCACAGCTCAGTGTCCCCCTGCAGAGCTTTGAGGGGATGGAGCTCCTGGGAAGCCTCTGATGGTTCCTGCACCTCTGCCACCCCCCCTCCCCGAGCCAGCTGACCAGGGTGGGCTTGGGACCACCCAAAATCCACGCCAGGAATCACCCAGGGAGCCACAGGAGCTGCTGCCAGGGCACAGCGATGACCCTCAGCCTCGGGATCTGCTCCAAGAGGGGATTCCCAGCTCGGGGAGGTGCCCACACCCCCCCAACGTGTCCCTGTGCCCCCCATTCCCGCTCCGGGGCGGATCCCAGCCCACCTCCGGCGTTGGTGATGGTGACGGGCACGCCCTGGACCTGCACCCCGTTGATGTTGATGGTCTGCATGGCCTGGGCAGCAGCTGCCAGCTGGGCAGCGTTCAGGCTCAGGATGCCCCCGGCCGGGGCGATTTTGGGCAGCGGGCGCTCCTTGCGGGGTTGGGGTTTCCTGGAGCCCCCCGGGCCGGGGCTGCGGGACACGGGGCTGCTGCAGGATGATCCCGACGGAGCCACGGCCATGGCTGAGGCCTCCTGGAGCACCACGGTCTGCAGCTCCCCTGAGGGGGTTTTGAAGTAGACCTGAGAGTGGCAGAGAAGTGGGGTGAGATCGGGAATGGTTCCTCTTCCCCCTTCCAACACACCCCCACACACCCCAGGGATCATGGAACTGTGGATGGTTTGGGTTGGAAGGGATCTTAAAGCTCATCCAGTTCCACCCACCCAGGGACACCTTCCATTAGGTTGCTCAGAGCTCCATCCAACCCAGCCTTGGACACTTCCAGGGATGGGGCAGCCAAAACTTCTCTGAGTTGGAAGGGATATTAAAGTTCATCCACTTTCACCCCCCTGCCATGGGCAGGGACACCTTCCACTAGCCCAGGTTGCTCCAAGCCCTGTCCAATCTGGCTTGGGACACTTCCAGGAATGAGCCCAAAATCTTTCAGTTCCTCCTTCAAAACCTGCCCAAAACCCTTTGGTTCTTCCTCCTTCAAAACCCTCCCAAAACCCCTTCAGTTCCTCCTTCAAAACCCTTCAGTTCCTCCTTCAAAACCTTCCCAAAACCCTTCGGTTCCTCCTCCTTCAAAACTCTCCCCAAACCCCTTCAAGTTCCTTCTTCAAAACCCTTCAGCTCCCAAACCCTGGCTGAGGCTGAGAAGGCCCAGGTGGAGCCTGGCACCTGGGGAGGTGGTACCTGGGTGGGCGTGGGCAAGGCCCAGGTGGAGCCTGGCACCTGGGGAGGTGGTACCTGGGTGGGAGTGAGCAAGGCCCAGGTGGAGCCTGGCACCTGGGGAGGTGGTACCTGGGTGGGCGTGGGCTCCGCCGCCTGGATCTGGAAGTTCTGGGAGGCTTTCTGGGGCACGGTGGGCAGCGTGGCCGAGGCCGCCTGGACCACGCGCAGGGCCTGCTGTGGGATCTGCACCACCTGGGACTCCTGCTTGGGCTGCACCACCTGCACCTGCTGCACCACGGCCGGCTGCCCCGCGCCGGGGCTCTGCACGATCAGCAGGTTGTTGCCGGCCTGGATGATGTTCTCCGCCGTCGTCTCGATCAGCACCGTCTCCACCTGCTCGGCCACGGCCACGGCGGCGGCGGGTTGGGCGGGAGACGCCGCCTTCTTCCGGGGCTTTTTGCCCGCTTTGGAAGGGCTGTCCGTGAGCAGCTGGGCCTGGCCACCCTGCTCGGGGCCCACCAGGCTGTTGCTGGCCAAGGTCAGAGTCACGTTGCCGCCGCCGGGTAACTTGACCACGCTGCCCGCGCCCGGCGACGCTCCCGCCTTCTGCGCCGGGGCGGGTTTGATGGGCACGGGCTTGTGAGAGGAGGAGGAGGAGGAGGAAGAGGAAGAGGAGGAGGAGGAGGAGGAGGAGGAGGAAGGGGTGAGGATGGCCTGGTTGGTGCCTGGGATGATCTGGATCTGGTTGGCGAGGTTGGGCTGCACCTGGATGGTCTGTGCCCCGCCGGGCACCGCCTGGTACTGGATGTTGGAGGAGGAGGAGGAAGAGGAGGAGGAGGACGAAGAAGACGAGCGGGAGCCCTTGTTGAGCACGGCCGGGTTCTGGATGGCGAAAACCAGCTGCCCCCCCGGGTAGGAGGTGCCCACCTGGGAGCCCTGGATCTGGAAGAGGTTCCCTTTGGAGGACAGGATGCCGATGCTGCTCTTGGCGGAGCCCAGGGGCAGCGGGGCGGGTTTGATGGGCACCAGCTTTCGGGGTGTGGGCTGGGGGGGAGCCGGGGGGGTCACGGCGGCTTCCACGGCGGGGGGGCCGATCTTGCTACATGTGGCTGCCAGGAGGGCCAGGGGAGAGGGCTGGGAGTCCTGGGGACAGGAAAAACAGGGAAGTTAGGGATGGGAAGTTGTAGCAAACACCCAAAAATCCAGCCCAGCCCAAGCTGAGACCCCCCTCGTTAAGGGAAGTGGTTAATTACCCTTTAGCTGCCCCTCGTCACAGCCTGAGCCTTTAAATCACATCCCTGTGTCCCTAAGGCCACTACAGAGCTGGGGATACCTGGGAAAAGCTGTGGATACCCGGGAAGCCCGTTGGGATTTACCCCATCACAGCCCTTCAGCCTGAATTCCATTCCTTGTGGTATGGACCTGGGAGACCCCAAAGGGAAACAGTGAGAAAGGAGGAGGAAGGGCTGGTGTTGGGAGTGGGAACAAGCCCTGGAACAACCCTCTGGAAGAGTGTTGGGACTGGGAACAAGCCCCGGGACAACTCTGTGGAAAGGCTGGTGTTGGGATTGGGAACAAGCCCTGGGACAATCCTCTGGAAGAGTGTTGGGATTGAGAACAAGCCCTGGGACAACCCTGTGGAAGAGCTGGTGTTGGGATTGAGAACAAGCCATGGGACAACCCTGTGGAAGAGTGTTGGGATTGGGAACAAGCCCTGGGACAACTCTGTGGAAGAGTGTTGGGATTGAGAACAAACCCTGGGACAACCCTGTGGAAGGGCTGGTGTTGGGATTGGGAACAAGCCCTGGGAAAACCCTCTGGAAGAGTGTTGGGATTGAGAACAAGCCCTGGGACAACCCTGTGGAAGAGCTGCTGTCGTGAGTGGGAAGAAGCCCCGAATGTGGCTCCCCAGCCTGTCCTGCCACCAACCCTTCTCCTGCCACATCCCCAGTGGCTATTCCTGGTTCCTCCCGCATCCCAGGCCACTTCCCTGTGTCCCAGGCTGCCCTGGACCCACCTGGGTGCCGGAGGCAGCCGGCTGCAGGTACTCGCTGGGGCTGACGGCGGCGGTCGCAGCCATGCTGGCCCTGGAGCTGCCAGGAGAGAGAGCACATGGATCAGCCCAGGGAGCCCATTCCAAGACCCCCCAATCCCACGGGATCCTCCTGGTACCCCTCTCCCTTTCTCCCTGTGCCACCCACCTCACCCAGTCCTTCGGAGGATGGCAGGGGGGTGACAAAGGGGCTGCAGAAACGCGTCACCACCTCCCCACGCCCTGTTTGCCAGCCCAGGGAATTCCCAGGCAGCATTCCCTCGTTTTCCACACCCTCGTTTTCCTGCACCCCATTCCTGAAGCCACAGCCCCTCCCTGGGCTGACAGAGCCCCCCCACCCCACCCCAAAAAAAGGGGACCCTTCAAAGCAGAAGCAGGTTTGTGCCCACAGAGCCAAAATCTCCCCGTTTCCACCCCTTGCTGCCTGTTTTTCCAACTCTGGGAATCCCAAAAGGACAAGAGTTTTTGGGAAAGATTCATGGTTTTTTTAACATTTATAGGTTTAAACCAAGGGAAAGAGGCCCCTAAATCCTCACAAACTTGCTGAAGCTTTTGTTCTGGATTTGAAGACATCTCAGCTTTGACATTTCCCTTGGTGAATTCCCCATCCGGCAGCTGCTCCAGAAAAAATTCCCTGGATCAGGCGCCAGGGAGGACATGTCTGAGCTTGAACGATCTTTATTCCCATTGCTGGCAACATCCTGACTCCAAACAGGGAAGTTGAGGGATACAGATGCTTTGGGATCACTCAGGGCATCTCAAATGCAGCCTTGTGGTATTTATGGAGATTTTGGATGTCCAGAGGAATGGGGTAACAGGGATGTTTGGATGTCCAGGGATGGAGGAGCAGCCAAGGCTCCTGGAAAAAAGCTGTGGATCCCTGGGAAGCCTGCTGGGATTTACCCCCACCACACCCCCTCAGTGTCACAGGCAGCCTGAATTCCAAGGAAACCACAGGGGAGACCCCCCAGCTCCCACCACATCCCTGGGATATCCCAGGACACTCCTTCCCCCCCTGGGAATGTGGAGCCTTCCCTGGGCCAGCACCAGGTCCAAGGCTCCCTTCCAGGCTCTCCCACAGCACATAAATCCCTGGGAAGAGCCAGGTGGGAGTCCCAGGGTCCTGGAATGGCCTGGGAATTGGGAATAAGTCGCCTCATTCCTTGGCAAAGGAATTCCCATTCCCTTGCAGCCTCCTGGGAATGATGGAATTGGTGCCCAGCACTGGCCTGGGATGAAAGGGAATGTTTTTCCTGGAAAACCTGGAGCTTTCTTCCCCGAAAAGATGGGAATTTGCAGGGCTGCACCCTCCCTTTGAGCAGGATTAGGGCCGAGCTGGGGATTAACAGCCCTGACTGCAAAGCAGGGCAGAGACACAGCCTGGGACAGATCCCATTATCCTGGACAAATAAAGAGGAATAAGATCCAGTGGGATCCCCCCCGTGTGTGCCTCACTTGTATTGGACTCCAGGTGAATCAGAGCCCCCTAAAAATCCATGGAAAACTCAGCAACTCTCCCCCCCCCCCAAAAAAAAACCCCGGGGATTCTGGATCCAAACACAGATACGGGACAAACGAATCCAAGAGGAGCAGCTCCGTTTGTTTGCCAGGGAAAACCAGGGAAAAATGGGCACTCAGAGCCCAGAGCGGCTCAAGCACCTGCGGATTTACATCTCAACGGCAGGAAATCTTGGAACAATCCGGGATTTGGGAGGGGCTTGGTTTAAATCCTGGGAACCTGCCCAAATCCCCCCATGGGGATAAATCCCACCTTGGGAACCTGCCCAAATCCCACCAGGGGGATGAATCCCCCCCCCTAAACCCAGACCTGACCCCCCCCATCGACAAAGCCCCCCGCACCCCCCCGGCAGCCCCCCCTCACCCCCGGGGCCCCTCAGAGCATCCCGGGCAGAGCCACCCCCCATCCCCGGGGACCCTCAGAGCATCCCGGGTAGAGCCACCCCCCATCCCCGGGGACCCTCAGAGCATCCCGGGCATCCTCGGCCCGGAGACCCCCAGACCTGACCCCTCCCACCCCCAGGTGACCCCCCACGACCCCACAGACCCCCCTCCCTACCCCGGGCCCCCCTACGGCCCCTCCCGGCGGGTCCCGGGGGAGGCGGGTCCGAGGGCCCGGGCCCGCCCCCGACCGGGCCAACGGCGCCGGAAGCGCGGCCCTCCCGGCCGGGGGCTCGATCCGGGCGGGCCGTGGGAGCCACCGAGGGGTGCCCGGCCCCGCAGCCCCCGCCCCGGCCGCCCCCCGGCCCCGCTCGGCCCGCACTGACCGGGGGGGGCGGCGGCGGCTCCGACCCGCTCACGGCGCCATCTTCGTCCTCCGGGCACCGCCCTGCGCGCCCCGCCCCTCCTCGGCATCGTAGCCAATCCCCGCCCGGCTCGCTGCCGCGCTGGCCAATCGGTGGAGAGATGGAGGACGGACGGCCAATCCGCTAAGGGTCGCTGGTTGATAGGCAGCTCCGCCGTGCAATGGAAAGCGGAACGCCGGGGTGACAGACGGACTCGGGAAGCCAATGGAAGGGCGGATCTTTGATTGACAGCATTCAGAGCCAATAGACGCGAGGCCAGGCTGTGCGCGTCCGCTGATTGAGTGACAGCGGGCGGGGGGGGGTCGCAACTTCCTCGCGGGCGGGACCTGACCAAAACGCACCTCGCGATTGGCTATAGGCACTTTGATTGACAGGCAGATTAGGCAATGGGAGGCGCGGTTATGCCGAGCCACGCTTGTGATTGGTGAAAGGCGGGGGGCGAGCCGTTTGGGGCTGATGACGTCACGGAGTCCCCCCGAGAGTGGGGGGGAGTCCCGGGGAACCCCCGGGGGGGGCCTGGGCCCCCCTCTCCCCCCTTTCCTCCCATCACCGATCCCTGGGGGCACCCCCAGGCCCCATCACAGACCCCTTGGGACCCCCTCACTCATCACTGACCCCTCGGAGGATTTGAGGGGGGTCCGGATGGTCCCCAATTTGGTGGCGCCCAGCGGTGGCTCCTGAAGGACCCCCAACTTCCCCCCAGTGGGGGTCCAATCACAAAGATTGGGGTGTTCAGGGGGGTTGGGGTTCTTGGAGGGTTTTGGGGTGTTCAATCCCTTTCAGGGATCAGACTGCCAGAGGAGTTGGGGGTCCCCAGTCCCCCAGTAAAGACTGGGATGCTCAGGGGGTTTAGGGTCCCCCCTCCCCTCACAAAGATTGGGGGGGGGGTCAGGGGTGTTCAATCCCCTTCAGGGCTCAGGATGCTCAGAGGGATTGGGGGTCCCCAGCCCCCTTAGAGAGGTTGGGGTGCTCGGGGGGGGTTCAGGGTGCTCAGGGGGCGTTCAGGGTCCCCTCACAAAGATTGGGGTGCTCAGGGGGTTCGGGGTTCTTGGAGGATATTGGTGTGTTCAATCCCCTTGTAGGGCTCAGGGTGCCAGAGGGGTTGGGGGTCCCCGGCCCCCTTGTAGAGGTTGGGGTGCTCGGTGGGGGGGTTCAGGGTGCCAGAGGGGGGTCAAGGGTGCCCACCCCACCCTCCTCCCTCCCACCGCCACATCCCTCCCCACATCCCAGTGTCCCCCACCCCTCACCCCACAAACCCTCCCGAGGGGTGTCCTCCCAACCACCCCACGAGCCCCCTGCCCCGGTGCCAGCGCTGCCAGCCCGGGGGGTGCCCAGCTGGCTCTCCAGTCCCCCCCACGGGACCAGCAGCTCCCAGTGGAGCCAAATAATTGCCCGGTGCTTTGTTGTGCCGTGTCTGTGGCCGCGGGGCCTCCCATTTGTGGGAACCTGCTGCGGCGGGAGCGCCTCCCTTTAATTACCCCCCTCCCTCCCTCCCTCCCTCCCTCTCTGCTTACTCACCGCCTGGCACCGCCGCCCCGGCACCCCCAAACCCACCCGGGGGTCCCCCAGGGTGCAGCTGGGGGGGTTGGGGTTGGGCAGAGCCCCCCTCGCCCCCCGGGTTCCATCCTGGGGTGGAAGGAAGGGGTGGGGTTGGGGGGGTCCCCAGGGGTGGGGGACACACTTGGGCACCCCTGGGATGGGCTCTGGCTCTGGTCACGCTTGGAAAAGCCACGGGAAGCTCCACAGGTGTCACCAGGGACACGGGGATGGCCTCGTGTGGGATGTGCCCATGCCACCTGCCCCGCACCCCAAATGTGTCCCTGCACCCCAGAGCGGGACCCCAGCGCTGCCAGGGGGCACCCCACGGGGCACTGAGCCAGGGGACACCGAGCAGGGGACAAGGGGGACCCCAAAAGCTCAACTCAGGCTGTGAGGGGACATCCCATGTGGCAGTGCCACCTTCCAAGCAGGGACGCACAGGATGGCACAGCAAGGCTGGGAGAGGGACACAGGGACACACCCAGGGATATAGGAATATAGGGATATAGGGATATAGGGATATAGGGATATAGGGATATAGGGACACAAGGGCAAGGGTCTGTGCAGTGAGAGTGGGACAGGGATGCACAGGTTGGCACAGCAAGGCTGAGATGGGAACATGGGACACAGGGACACACACAGGGACACAAGGAAATGGGGACACAGGGACACAGGGACACAGGGACAAGGGTCTGTGCAGTGAGAGGGGGACAGGCAGGTTGGCACAGCAAGGCTGGGATGGGGACACACAGTGAGGACCCTGCTCAGGCTTCACCTGGAGGACCCAGAGCTGTGACAGGGGGTGAGGACACGCCACCCCCTGCAGTCCCCAGCCCTGTTCTCCCTGTCCCCAGCCCCCTGCCACCCACCCCGTGCCCTGTGCCAGTGGGATTTGTGCCTGAGCCCACGCTCAGTGACGGGAATTGCAGCATCTCCTCGCTGCCAGCCTGGCCCTGTGCCCTTCACCCTTCCCAGCCCAGTTCCCTGTCCCTGGAGCCACCACATGTTCCCAGTCCCACCGTGTGTCCCTGGTGCAGCCCGGTGTCCCTGTCCCCAGTGCATCCACATGCCCCAATTCCTTCTGCACCCGTGTTCCCGTTCCCAGCACAGCCCCGTGTCCCTGTCCCTGTCCCTTTCCCTGTCCCTGATGCGACCCCACATCCCCCTTCCCGCTGCATCCATGTGCCCGTTCCCAGCGCGGCCACAAATCCCTGTTTCTGGTGCCACCATGTGTCCCTGTCCCCAATTCGGCCAGGAATTGTCCTCGATGTGCCTGCACGTCCCCAGTGCAGCCCGGTGTCCCTGTCCCCATCCCCGATCCATCCCCACATCCCCGTTCCATCTGCATCCACGCTCCCCATCCCCACCACATCCCTGTGCCCCATTCCCGGTGCGGCCACGTCCCTGTCCCCAGAGCTGTCCCCGGTGTCCCCTCCCTGCTGCAGCCGCGTGTCCCTGTGCCCGTCCCCGCTCCATCCCCACGCCCCCATTCCCGCTGCCTCCACGTGCCCCATCCCGGGCGGGCGCTCTGCCGGGCGCTCCCCGCGCCGTGCCAGGCAGGTTTCCCCATGCCCTGACTGACAGCCGGGCCGGCCGGGAGCAGATACGGCGGCGAGATTAACACGGGACTAATTAAACCCCAAATTAAGGCTCCCATTTAACCCCGCTCCGAGCCGGCAGCTCCGTCGCCGCGTCGCGGAGAGGTCGAGTCCCGACAGTAATTCCTGCTCCCCGTGAGGAAACTGCTCCCTCCGGGCACGCCGTGACTTGGCACGCACTGCGGGCACGGGAATCCCATCGCGATAATCCCGATAGGAATCTCTGCCAGGCAGGCAGGTGCCCTTGTCCTCGGGGAGCAGGTGGGCAGCGCCGTGCCCGCTGTTCCCAGGGGTGCCGGCTGTTCCCGGGGGTGCCAGCCATTCCCAGGGGTGCCAGCCATTCCCAGGGGTGCCAGCCGTTCCCCGGGACACCACGGCTGGCACTGGGCTGGGTCCTTGTCCCCGTGATGGCACAGCTTGGGGACAGGGATAGGGTTGTGTCCCACCGTTTACTGGGAGCACCCCAGGGCGAGTGTGACACCCCCCTGGGGAGTGGGGTCACCCCGTGGGGGTTGTGACACCCCAAAAAGGGGCTGTGACCACCCCATGGTACTATGGCCACCCCATGGGGACATCCCTTGGGACTGCGGTCACCCAGTGGAGTCTGTGACACCCCAAAGGGGGCTGTGACCACCCCATGGGGCTGTGACCACCCAATGGAGTCTGTGACACCCCAAAGGGGGCTGTGAACCACCCCATGGGGCTGTGACCACCCGGTGGAGTCTGTGACACCCCAAAGGGGGCTGTGACACCCCAAAGGGGGCTGTGACCCCCCCCATGGGGACTGTGATCACCCTGTGGGAGATGTGACACCCCCATGGGAGCTGTGACCACCCCATGGGGGCTGTGAAACCCCTGTGGGGATGTGATCACCCCACGGTCACTGTGACATCCCCGTGGGGACTGTGACCACCCCACGAGGGCTGTGACCACCCAGTGCCACCACCGTCCCTGACCCACCTGGCACCGTGCCCACCGTGCCACCCCCAGCAGTCTCGGGGTCCCCCTCAGGCTCCCGCCAGCACCTCGGGGGGGGTTCAACATCACCCCAGCGTCACCCCCTCGGGGCCGTCTGGGTGTGGGGGGGCCTCCCCCAAAACCTCCGGGGAGGATCCCGGAGTGTCTCTCCCCGTCTGAGGCCCCGCGGCCGCCCCCGGGGGTGTCCCCTCGGGACGGGGCGACCCAGACGGCGCAGCCCCGTGGCACCCGCTGCAGACCCCCCCGGGGTTACCCCCCCGGGGCACCCCGAGATCAGCACCCACCCACGGGTGCGGGGGGTGCACAGGGACGTGCTCACAGGCACGCGGGGCACCGGGGGGGTCACACGCGTGGATGTGACACCCCCCCGTCCCCCGCCCCTGCACGGACATGCCC